AGGAAGCACAAGTTCCTGTGAAGGTTGTGTTAGGAAGGGCATCTGGTGTAAAAGTGCGCAGGTCCGTCCACTGTGGTGACCCATTGTGAATAATGGAGCAGCTGAAAGAAGCTAGAACAATGCAAAAGTTATTGCTTTTTGCTCCCTACACTTCATTAAATACTGTTTCGGTGTTAAATTTATAATTGAGTCAGGGTAAAGCCTCGGGCCTTTAGTTATGATGTTATGATCAGTGAAGGTCCTTATAAAGATAGCTAAATATGGCCTTGTGTGTATGTATATGCCTCAACACACACAGAGAGTGGAGCAGGCGGCAGCCACACAGGGGAAACAGTGGTAAGAGAGTACTTTTAGCCAAAATATGGGAAGTGTTCATCCAAATGATGTCAAACTTGGCATCATACTTAGTCAAGTCCCCAGCAACACACTCACCAAGCTTGAACTGGGTTGGGTAAACAGTTATCAAAATAGGCAAAGAAAAAGAAAAGAGAGACATAATTCTCAAATTATTATTTGTAGCATTACAAATGGGTTTGTTTGGCATTTTTTTCTATTATTTTCTTGTGGCTGGTTAGGAGGGGGCAGGAGAATACAGTATATGAAACACTATAATGTGTTCTAGCCTGCATGCACTTGCATTTGGAGTCTGCTTGTGTTCTCAGATGCTCAACCTTCTTCTTATTGCTTCTCTTTACTAAGCTGGATATTGCTTAACACTGTTTCTGCAGACAAGCACTTGCACTCTGTTAGCACCAAATCCATCTCCAGTGTAGGAAGTATAGTGGGTGCTGCAAAAACATCAGATAAATGACTACTGAGGCCTGGTTTAGATGTGGCAGACTGCACCATTTTCCCATATGCTTAACTGGGTTAGTTTTTTTTCTTCTTCTTTCCGCCTTTGATGTTCTTCTTTCTTTTGTCAGTTATGCAGATTTCCATAAAAGAAGCACAAACAATAAGGTTTTTTCCTTCTGTGCTTTTTTTTCTTTTCTTTTTTGGTCACTATATTCTTGTTTCCAGGTTATTGTAAGGCTTTTGTGCTAAAAAAGAAAAGAAAAGAAAAAAGGGAACCCCCACCCTCACAAAAGAAAACGCAGTTTACTCAGGAGGAGTGGGTCATAGGGTGGGAGGGGGGAATTTGGAGTAAGGGGAGATATGGCAGTTACAGGTGGGGAATTGGCAATACTTATATATGGTAGGGCTGAGGTGACATTTAACAAACGTGGGACTGCAAGGTTTGTGCGTGGGGAGATTGGTAGGCTGATGCGGTTTCCTGGAAATACCCCAACATGCAAACGCTCTTGTAAAACCGTTCTGACAAGCAGGCAAGAAGTGTTTCACTTGAGGTTTCTCATGAGTGTGGTGCAGCAGACCTTTCTATTCATACGCAGTATGAATAAATATAGTGAGGCAAATTTAGCACCTTAGTTGCAGATTACAAATAGCCTATTTTTATTGCCAGACTTCATTGAATAGCTTATCCTGACAGAGAGATGACTTAGGCAAAAAGTATATTAACAAGTTTGCAATTAGGAAAATGTATGCAAGTGCACACACAAATACATAAATCAATCAAAATGTTACATACCAGACCCAGTAAATTCTTAAAATTCTTATTTAGATAAGAACCAACACATGACTAAATGCTATACAGCTCCAGTCTGCTAGGCTTGATTAACCTGTCAAGTTGGTCTGGGGCATAAATGTGTTGTTGTGTACCTTTTAACGCTGCAGCAACAACATCGTCTTCAGTTTAATTAAATTCAGTTTTATTTAAGGCATTATATTTATTAATTTAGGGCTACATGGTGGTTAGCAGTGTTGCTTCATAGCAAGAACGTCCTGAGTTTGACTCCACCATTTGGCCGAGGCCCTTCTGCTTGGACTGTGCATGTTGTCCCTGTGCGTGCATCGGGTTTCTCTGGGTACTCCGGCTTTCTGCCACATTCCAGAGACACGCAGTTAGTGGGTTAGGTTAACTGGTGATTCTAACTTGCCCACAGGTGTGAACGTGAGTGCAAATGGTTCTCTGTCTCTCTGTGTTATCTCTGTGTTAGCCCTGCTGTGTCAGTCTGGCGACTTGTCCAGGATGGACCCTGCCTCTGGGACCAGTGAGACGAGCAGACCAGGGATATGGAACCAGAACCAGAGGCATCTGCTAAAGAGGTGTGAATTTATGTTATTCCGAATAAAGAAAACCACTACGTCAATGGCTATGTGTCTAAAACCCGCAGTGCTAACATAGACAAGCATTCAAATATGTACTTTTTTAATCTATCCACCAGTGGATAGATTAATCTATAAGAAAGCACCACTTTTTTATAAGGTAATCATACCTGTAGAACGAAATCCTAATCCTAATCCTAATCAGCCAAGTAACTTGTAACTACAACTATCCAATATAGATAGTGGAACAAAATGGATACAGTAGCACTCTGTGCGGTAGTGAAAAAGGTGAGTCATTACCAGAACTTCCTTAAAAAGGCAGTGAAAGAGGAGCTTTGGTGCACTTGGAAGTTTGGTGACCTTCTAGTTGTAGCCTCTTTATCAAGCCGATATCAAACTCTCAAATATGTAACCACAAGGATTATACAAGAAAAGTTTTCATCTTGACGTTTGTGGTATTTCGCAAGACTGCAAAACGCCCTGATTTACACAGGAAAAAAACAGCTGCCCAAACTCTGTGTTTAAGCTGTCATCAATAAAGTATGAATGAAAATGTCAAACCAAGATCGCTGCACAATGTCTGTTCATGAATGAATCTGACTCACTGCCTCTTCTTTTGAAAACTGACATGTCGCAAAACTCAAAAGTACAGCAGAAGCTCATTCGACAGGAAGTCATCTGCTGTTGTGCAATAGGAAGAGGGTGTATCCATGGTTACCTTTGTCTGACCCTTTTGTAACAGCAGCAAACAAAAGGCACGCCCATTCACCCGAACAGTATCACATAAACACCCACCAACTGAGGTTTTTGTTTTTTTTTTTTTGTTGGCCCATTTAAAACTCTCAAGTACTGTAACATTCCTGGAAACTGAGGCGGGATTCAGATTTGGGTTAGAGAGTGAGGTGAAATACGCAGAACACAGTTTGTTTGACTGATTATTAATGCCATTCTCAGGCTCTTCACATAAACCATTAAAATTATTATTCAAGTAGTATATAAAGTACAATTTGTACATACAACATGAAGTATGATCTAACCCTGTTTATTTGGCATTCATAAGCTGAAAAAAAAACCCACAGATAAGGGAACACTTAAAGTGTTTGCTCATTCATTTGTTAACTATTTAAAAGTAAATTAAAAAGCTACCAATAAAATACCACAGGTGTAAAATTCACAGTATATACAGAGAGATGTCAGTATCAGAATTGTCCTTCATATGAATGTGTTTTGTCCTAACCAGCCTGATTAATGGTAGCTTAAAATAAATGTTTCTAACTGAAAGCTAGATTTGCTCATTCAGATTTCCTCTGTGCTTTCAGCCACATCTCATGACTGTCATTCGTGAACAGACTTAAACACGTTACTGTAAATATTCAAATAAGTTTTGATTACCAGTAAAAATATAAAATAAACACATACTGTTATTAAAATGCTTAATGTGATTTAGCTGTGTTACATTTCACCCCCAATTACCTCATACATGACAAATGCAGTAAAGGATATCTAAAAATGATCTCATTTTGGTTTACAGCTATATTAGAGTCCTTCATAAGCTACTTATTTTAATAAAGGAAGTAAAAGTGTTACAGATGTACATCTGTGAAATTTCCACAGTTTCATAACCCAAAGTCCTGTGTTATAAAAGTAATTCTGAGTAATCCAACAGGCGATCTCACAGTTATTAATCTTTCTAATCTAGGCTCTCTAATCCTATCATTGTGTGTAAGTATGTGTATGCTTGTAGGAGTGCTCAACAGTAGGTCACTGGACTGTCTAGATGGCAATGATAAAAGAAGCGAAACCAATGGGCTACAGATCACAGCAAAACACCATGCAGCAGGTCATTAACCTTGCAGTTTCAGGTCTCTTAACTTTCCCTAAGGTGATTTTAGCTGAACAAAATAAACTGCATTTAACTATTTTGGTTGTTTATATTTTCATCTACATCATAGTCTCCACTGCAGCAGCAATTTCCCCCACAGAGATGATTAAACGTTTTATTTTATCACATCTAACAAGGGAGTTGTCTTAACATCACAACATATACTTAGTCAAGTTTTTATCTCTTTCTAAAAGAGCAATAAGGGATTCTTGCACTGATAGACAGCTCTAAAATGTTTGCATAACTGAGGCAGTTGTGGTTCAGGAGATAGAGTCGGTCGTCTGTCAACTGGAATATCATATGTGTAAACTGGTTTGAGTCTCGGCCTCCAGTCTACATATTCAGTATCCTGGGCAAGATAGTGAACCCTAAGTTACCCCTGGTGCATCCACTAAATTGCGAGTGTGCCAATGTTGTGTTAAAAGTCCTTAGGCGTAGAAAAAAAGGAACTTATATGAATGTGTGTGAATGAGGCTTCTAGTAAGAAAGTGCTATAAAGATACAAAACCATTTAAAACAAAACTCCCTATAATTACTGAGAAAATACATGAATGGACAATAAGAAATAAAGGTATACTACTTTAAAATATGGAGTATTACTTGTATTTGGTGTTTATAAATACCAAGGAAGGTAATTTAACATTAAATGTTGCCTACTGGCGTCGATTAAAACATTTCTGTAATCTCACAACTGGGTTTAGGGAATTAAAAACAAAACAAAACTATAAACGTTTCGTCTTTAAGCGCTCGCATTTGTATCATGACTACAAAAAACAACTACAATTCCCATCAGCTACGTGTGTTTACGGAAGCCTGACCCGTAAGATAATGGTTGCCTCGTTTTGCTTTTAGGGTACAAGCTGATGTGATTTCTCGCAGGGGCGGTGACGTAAAATCTAAAATTCACTACTTAAAGGGAACTGTTCTCGGGCGATACTGGTTGAGGAACTAAGCACACCTCCATTGGGATTTGACGACCGTTACGTCGTGCTCGCTGTGATGGTTGTTGCTTTGATTGTTGTACGTAGCCTAGCATGTTTCCTTAGTTAACAGTGCGATTTAACGACGATTAAACATCCATGAAACCGACAGACTCGGATGAAGATGAAGCAGAGCACCCGAGCTCCATGCATAAGGAGCTGAGGCGTATGTTAATGTTTTGTCGTGCTACGTTTGCTAACCTGTTTGAATGGGCAGCTCAAGAGACCGTCGTTGGATGGTTAGTTAGCACATAGTAAGATGAAACCGACTTGGTGTCTTAAATTTATGTCGCCAGAGCCCAATAGAGCATTATCTCTAGAGGTATGTTACCGAAAAGAACTATTATTGGTGGAAAACTACAGGTGAAAGGCACATGACTGCCACCTGTTGCTGCTGGGGCACCAGATGAGGACACTTCACACAAGCTGACAATAAAATGAAGCTTCAGATTCTGAATCCAGGCGCTCAAAGTGCAGCTAAAAAGGAGACATTATGATCTCATGTGAACCAGGGAAACTGCCCTTGCTCCCAGTGTACAGAAGTTTAACTACATATTTAATCCCCGAGATTTGTTAGCATGACTCTTTGGGCTGAAAGTATAAGAAGTAAATGTGTAAAATTGCAGAAATCTAAATTTTAATTACTTTAGTGTAGTATGAATGACCATGGAGGATGTCTTTATCAGTATGAAAATGTGTGGAAAATACAATTAAAAGTCCAAGATTTCTGTTCTCCTTCTCCTTTCCAAAGCCATTTAGTGGGCCAGTTTGAAGCCTTTGCTGGGCCGATTCTGGACCCCGGGCCTTATGATTGGCACCATTGCTCTAAAGCTTTCATTTTAGGATGCCTGCCCTAGGCAAAATAAAAGCTTTGCATTATTTGGCTACTGATTGGGTAAAATAAATGGGTGAAATTGAGATTTTACAGCTTAGTTTTTGTGCAAGTGCCACCTGCTTACATTCGTGAACACAACACTGGTGGTGTATTTGTTTGCTGTATAGACATCTGTGGTTGTCTGTGCATTTCATCAAATAAATGATATACTGTGTTACACTGGCATCTATGTGTATGCTGAATTCAGAGCGGGCCAACCAAAGCATCCAGCATCTGAGCAGTGCTCCGCTGCAGCTGGACCCTGATGGAGATGAGGTGGAGGAGGTCAGAGGTGGTGATGAAGACCATTATACAACCATGGCCGAAGAGGACAAGGCTGCATGGAACCAAAAGTCACAGAGTGAAGCAGGTGACTGATTGAATACATAGAAAGTTGATTCTGTTCACTTGTAAGCATTTCATTGGAAGAAACCTTACACCAATCAAGTAACTTTTTCTGCTGACTGCAGGCTTTCTCAACCTTATAAACAGTATAGTTGCATAATGATGGAAATTGGCGCAACAATGTGCAATGAGCTCAGTCCCGTGATTGTTAATATGCCAACTGTCGTGACCACTGATCAATGAGGAGTGGCTAAAATCATAGCATTGCAAGATTGTGAAAGATGTACTCTTAGGCCTCCTCCAGTGTTAAAAAATGGTCACCTCTCTTTTTACATAACCAAGTGTTCCTCCCAGCCCGGGATGCAAACTTCCTCAACATTGAAAGATTGGGCAGTACCCTGTAGGTATAATTACATGCAGTCTTGGCTTGACAAACTGAATGTTCTGTGTTGTCCCGTCTGCCAGTGGTTGTTTGGGTTCTCTGATCATGTATAATTTACTGCAGTCGTCTTGGCAGCTGCATGTACTGTATTACTGTGTCTGTTCTGGGGCACCCGATCATTGAGGTGGACCACTTTTCGACAGATCATCTTTTGGTGTTTCAAACCACAGAGACATGGTGTTTTGAAAAAAGAAAAATGCATCTCAGCTGTTCTGATACTCCAGAAACATAAGAGATCAGATTGTTTCCTTAGGCAGCAGTTGTCCTTCTTCTCTCCTGGATCGCTCATAGCATTCTTCCCAGCTTTGACTAACCAACCTGTGATAACCACATTTTAATAAGGAGCTCTTTGATGTGACGTTCTTTTGCTTCCCTGGCTGCTGCGTCCGTGGGGATGGTGTTTGCTCTAAAACGACCCGCAATGGTGCTAAATTATGCACTTGTACTGCTTATAAGGCTGGGAAACGTGCAGTCAGCTGAGACCGAAGAAGTTATTTGGACAAGTGATGAAATGTTTCTGATTAGTTGTAAGTCGGTTATGTGATAAAACTCAGCCCTTATAGTGGGGTATCGTGAGATTTCCCCTCTCACAGTCTTTTTACACAAAGTTTAAATAAAGTGTTTATGTGTTTGTGTACATACTTATTTTTTATGTCTTTTGTAGTTAATCAGCTGAAGAGCCTTCTGCTGAAGCAGGGCAGAGAAATTCCCACACCTGTCTCCCCTTCCAAGAAACAGTCTCCATCCAAGGTAGAATGAGAAGTTTTGCATGGTTTAACATTTAAATGCGTTAGATCTGACGAAGGCCTGTTACAGAACTGGTACTCAGATGAGGAGCAATTCTCCATACTTGAATGTACCATGGTTTTACAGTTCACTAAAATGAAAGAAAAAACTAAAACTAGATGTGAAAACTAAGTGAAATAAACTAAAAATAAACAGGAAAGGCACTTAGTTTTAGTTTTTGTCATTCTAGCAAGCATCAGGAAGCCTTGTAAATTTGTTAAAATTTGTCACAGACAAATACAACTCACTTTCTAATAATAAAAAAGTAAAATTAAAAAAAATGTGCTAAAAGTGTAATGTGCAAAGCCGCTTTGAAAACAAATGAAAGCTAAACTGAAATTAAAACTGACTTCACTTGCCATTCTTCTGTGTTTTGGCTTTTATTTTTTACTCTTCTTTCCCTTTTGCATGGCAGGAGGGGATGTCCAGTTTACCTGCCTTTCAGGATTTGGTTCCTGTATTTCACAAGTCAGAATACATCCAACATCTGGAAGCTGAGGTTAAATTCTGTAAGGTCTGTGTGCACAAATGTACGTGTGTGTGTGTGTGTGTGTGTGCGTCCTTCATTCCCAGTGTGCTAATGTGAACGGATGTTAATCGGCTTCTCTGTTTGTGTGACTTCAGGAAGAGCTGCAGGGAATGAAACAGCGGATCAGAGTAGTGGTGATGGAAAATGAGAAGTTACGTTCAGAACTGAAAGCCAAAGCTGTGGATGAATCCCTAAAAGATTACACGATCCGAAACTCCACGGTAATTTGTGCGTGTGTGAAAATCATTGGTTTGATTTTTGTGTTCGTGAAAATGGTAATGCATGTAACAATGAAGGCACGTATAGTACAAACATAATAATGAGAGGAATAAAAAAGACTGAGGTTACCTTATGGCTCTGTCACACTTAAATAAAAATAGGACGGTCATTTCTTTGCTGCTTTGACAACAGCAACTGAGGCTTGAGGCTTGCATTAATCGTAGTCATGCTATAGTCTCCAAAAGCTGTTTTCCTATTATCCTATTATATTGTGACTGTTGCATTAGTCATTTTTCTCTGGACACTTTCAGTAGAGAGACACTAGAATATAAAGTTAACGTAGCCAAGTTTTTATAGTTCAACAGGCTGAATTTAAGCATCATAAAAGCATCTTTCAAATTAAAGATTTGGTCACCCGTTCCAATTTTTTTCCTCAGATGAACGAAGTCATCGACAACAGCCACGTAGCCTCCATTCGAGACCACAGTGTGCTACAGAAAGAAGAACACAACACATGGAAAAATGAGCTGGTAGGAAAGACGAGTCTCTACTGGTTGCCGTTCGGTTCTCGTTTACCTCAGTGTTCATCAGATTTTAATGCACAATGGTCCCCGATTGTATTTTAAGATTTGTCTTTTGCTAATTTCTTCCAATAAAACTTTAACAGTAGAAACATGAATTCTGTTTTTTAGTACATTTATATAGGAAGCTGTTGCAATATATTTAATTGCATCCAGTTATCCAGTTAGATTCAGATGTTTGTGCTCATCAGGAAAAACTGAAGGTGATCTACCAGGCCCAGATGGAAAGCTTGGAGGCGCAGGTCATCTCTCTCAGGTTAGTTCTTTGCGGCATCAAACGAGCAGAAACTCATCTGGGTCATTCCTTGAAGAAAAGGTCAGTTCCTCCCACTGACGCCCTCAGAGTCTGCAGATTGGTTTTTGTTTAGTCACTTTAGTATTTTTAATGATACCCTGGAAAAAATGTTTATTTTGTACTAAATATTTTCCAAGTTAAAAGTGCAGAGGGGTTGGTTAAAAACAAAATGCTTTTCAAGTTATTGTCTTCTAGTTTTGTTTTGTTTTTTAGCTCAGTATAAAATGTTCAGGGCTGAGAAAGACATTTATGCTCTATTTAAAACTGCAACCAGATCAAGTGGACACCCACTCAGTGTCACAGTGCAAAACACAAAACGTTTTTCTTCATGAGTTTTTGAATAATCAACTTTGAGCATCAACATATAGTTTCAATAACCAAACTATTATTTGCTGTCAATGACGCGGTGTCACAGAAACATTCCGACCTGATTTCTTTTTTTTTTATCTGTCTTCTGGTAATTCACTGGAGAAAAATGTAAAAAGTCCATTTCTTGTAGGCTGGTCAAAATAAGTCATAGCTTACCTACATTTTTATACCAAGCCCATCTCTGATCCCCTCCGATTCAAAACCTTAGTCATTTTTAACTCTAGCAAATGTACCTTATGTCTGTAAAAATCAGTTATCTTTAATTCTTTTTAGAACACTTTTCCTTCTCTGATATTTTCAGAAAGGATCTGTCAGTCAGTCAGAAGGAGTGCGAGGAGGTGAAGCTTCGCCTGAGACACAGGGAGAAGCAGGCTGCAGATGCACTGAAGGCTGATGGAGCTCCTCGTGTGGCAGGATTGTGCCTGAAGTGTGCACAGCACGAAGCTGTGTTGGCTGGGACTCACACAAACCTGCATGTCCAGGCTATTGACAGGCTCACAAAGTCAGTGGTAACAAATGCTTCCTGTAGAATCAATCAGAAGTTAGCAGCAGCATACTGACTGCGTAAACCATAGCATTAGTTTAGAATGAGTTAAGTGTACCACCCAGATTCTGCTTTTAATTCCTTTTTGTCTGATTTTTCTCAGAGAACGTGATGAGTTGCTGGTGGCTCTGCATGCTGTGAGGACGAGTCAGCAAGAGACACAACAGAGGGAGTGGTCAGCCTGTCTCCAGGTCAAACAGGCTGTGGAGATGGCAGAGGAAGCAAACCTGCAGAAAGCTAGGGTCAGAGAAGCATCCACACACACAACTTTCCAGCTGACCGCCATCTTTGCTTAATACAGTTAATATTTAGAATGCATTGCATTTGTTAATGCTCAGATTTACCTATTTATAAGCTACACACACTGTATACATATACAAGCTTATGGGAATACCACTATCATCATACGTCCACTAGAGGGTGCTCAAACATTGCCAGTAACTTGAAATTAGGGACATATTCAGCTTTCATATGTTCTTCAACCTCAGCGTTGACTCACAACATCATTTTTTGTTTTCTTTGTTCTAGTACAGCTGATTATTACTCTGTTAACCCTTCTGTTTTTGCACACATGCAGGTGGAGGTGCAGTGCGAGCAGTTGTCCAGGGAGCTGGCTCGACAGAGAGAACAGCTTGACCGAGACGCACACGGTTTGCAGCAGAGACTGGCTGAGGCCAGAGAGGAGGGCCGAGCAGAGGCCCGCAAACAAAAAGAGGAGCTGGCGAATATAGTTAGTCTTACTTTTCATGTACATGATTATTAGTCGCAGAATTGGGAAATTCACAGAAGAAGTGGATTACAGAAGAATGACTCCGTTCATTTGCCTGTAAAATACTGTAAATAACTATATTAACAGACAAATTTGAAAAAATACTCTTTTAATGAAACATTAAGTAGTAAAAAGTAGGAAATTGAATCATTGCTGTTTGCTTTTGCAGTAGCTATTGTATATTTCTTGTAAGTGAGTTTATGTCTGTTATGTTTTTGTAATGATACCCTAAAAAAATTCATAAAGTGCAAGTGTTTGTATTTGCAGGACATTTTACTTGAGTTCTGAGTGACGCTGCAGTGAAATGGGCGCTGAAATGGTGTACTGTGTTCGTCTGTCAGGTGTCTGGCCTTTCCCAGCGTGTCGCTGAGTTGGAAGGACAGCTAGACAGAGCTCTCAGAGACAAGAGTTCACTGACCAGTCAGCTGGAGGACACTCTCCGCACACTTACAAGCCGGGAACAAGAAAACACAACGGTATCGGAGTCTGTTTGCGCAAGAAAACTTTGTCTTCTCATTTCTTATTGATGGCATGATGAGGATTTCAAATAAGCATGAGCCAGGGTTTGGCTTTAGAAGTATGGGATTGAAAAAGCAAAAAGCTCTTTTGTTGTTGTTTAAAAAAGTAGAACTATTAATTTTAAGGACCCACATGCTTCACTATCTGCTTGCATTTAATTTCTAAATCCACTGGATGGCAGCAAAAGATAATCTATTCCAACTTTATATTCAGTTTTTGAACACGTAAATGCAAGAGCATATTTTTCTTTCATTAATATTTGTATTTATTTTGAACAATTCACGAATACAAACAAAAACAAAAAGAAACCAAGTGAATCGAAAGAAAAAGCGAACGGCAATCTGCTCCTCTCAATCAACACATGGCAACCCACAGGCTGAAAGAGACTTCAGAAAAAGACAAACAAAGTGTGTGAGTTCACACAAAATTCCACAAAATTCAACCCTCAGATCATTTTACAAATCTTAAAAAAATAAAACTTAGTTTACAACAAACAGCCAGATTCAAATCTTTCTAATAATTCAAAGAGATTCTCAAAACTTTTCAAATGCGTCTTATTTGTGTTTGTTTCTTAATCCTTCTAGGGGAGGATTAGAGATTAAACATCACAATGCTTTTATATTTTTGGTGAAAGACTGAATTAGTAGGTGCTTTTAGGGATGATGAAATGTGAAACTAGTCAAATACACGAGTGTAAAAACATTGAGCCTGGGAACGAGACAGTCTGATGATTTCGATGGGTGATTTTCAAAGTAAGGACATGATAGGATAATAAAAAGAAAATCAATATATGATGAAGCATTGAATGTGACATACTTGTTAATTAAAAGACCGCCTTTGTTTAATGAGGACTATTCATCTATAGGTATGTGTGGATCTGAGATATCAGCTCAGCCAGGCTACGCTGAAGAAACAGGAGGCTGAACGAGAGCTCAGAGAGCTCAACGCCAAGACCAGCAGACAGATGGAAAAGGCAGCACAGGTATGTGCTGATGTATTGATTAGTTAGGATTTATTTGATATTTGTTTAAGTCGGCTACTGACCCAGTATTTTGTAGAGTCGATTGTTTCATAAATAGTCTTTATTTTTCTTTTTTTGAGGGTCTGCAATGAAGCATAGCAAGCAAAATGAGTATTAAAACTCAAATTTTCCAAATTATTCTCAGGTTATTTGCACAAGCATCAATTATCCAAACTGTTAAAGGAACAGTTCACACCAAAATCAAATTTGCATACTTTTCCTTCAACCTTTAGTGATATTAAGCGATAGAGATTGTTTTGGTGTGAACTTTTCCACTGTAGAAATGACTGCCTTCTTTTGAATATAATACAGCTAAATGACATTTTCCTTGTGGTGCTCAAAGCCCCACGGCATTGGCATTAACGTCTCTTTACAGAAGTCATGACCTGGCTACTAAAAGAAAGATGACAGACGCATCACTCTACATGAGGAAGTATTGGTAGTAGTTAGGGATAACTCTGTCATGGTTTCTAGACATATATTTTATCTTTTAAGTGTATTTCATGTGCGTTGAGCACCACAAGGCAAATGCCATTGAGAAGTCAGACATTTCTACAAACCTCAAAAACTGGACAAGACGCACCAAAACAATCTATATGACTAAATGGCATTAAAGGTTCTGATTGATTTTTGGGTGAACTGTCCCTTTAAATTTAAATAATGAATGCAGGATATTCTGTGTTTCCATTTAGAGGTTCAGAAGATCAAACCTGACGTCTTTTTTTTGTCCTGCTCAGTTTTCACATGTTATTGTAACCAGGCTTTAATGTTTCGTTCATCTGAGGGCACAGGGTGGGTTGTTGTGAAAGATTTCCTCACCTCCTCTCTTCTTCCATCTCTGCGGGACAGGAAGTGGAAAGGCTGAGCTCAGAGCTGGTTGGCTGTCGGCAGCATCTGGAGGCGGTCCAAAAGGATGGGAGCCAATGGCAGGCCGAAGCCCTGAGCCTAGCAGAACAGCTGGCAAATGCCCAGCGCCAACTGCACCTCACCAGGTAGTACCTAATCCTATTATACATGCCACCACACTCACACACACACAGTGCTCCCCTCTGTCCAGCTCCTGCCCAGCTCAGCCCAGTCCAGTCCAGTTCAGATCAGCACACCAACTGTACCGCACCAGGTAACAGCTAATCCTATTATACAAACCACACACACATAAACACACATGCACGCCGCTGTGCCATGGTCCCGATACCAACTGGACCTCACTAGGTCACCTCTAATCCTGTTAAGCATGCCACAACATAATGCAACACAACACACACACACACACACTGCCCACTCTGTGCCACCAGGCCAGTGCCCAGCCCAGCAACAGCTCCAACAGAGCCAAAATGGCGCATGAGCCTTTCTTCTGTCCCTGGCGCACACACACACACACACACACACAACAGTGCGGCTGATGGTCACTGGACAGCCTGGCCTCAGTGCCACCTGCCAGTGCCCTGCACCCGTCCTCACAACGGGCACTACCGGCACCCCTCCATTATCTTTCTATCTATTTTTGCACCATTCTGTCCTGTTTTTTCTAGTATCTCTATATCAAGACCTCTGATATTCTTTATGATTTCATCCCACCTATTTGGGCATAGATTCATATTTACTGCCACCTGCTCTTTTGTCCTTAGCTGGCCTTTTTGTCTCCTCTTTAATTGATACGAATCTCCCCTGTAACGTTATCCTATCGTCGTCCTCCCTTTGACGTTATTCTTTCTTTCCTTTCTTACTACGGTCTTGTCTGTTTCTTCCCTCTGTCCCTCCTGTCATCCTCTGGCTGCTTTTCCCTTCCACACCATTCACCGCCAAGGCCACGCCAGCCAATGCCAGCCGCTCAGGGCACTCTCTCACCCCCGCTGCCCACAGCCGAGGTGTTTGAGATGGGCACAGATGTGGCGGCGGTGTCCCGTGGTGCTGGAGGCTGCGGGATGCAAGTTTGTGCAATCTAAGTGTGTATATGTGTGTCTGGTTTAAGTGTGTGTGTCCACTGCTGCTTCTGGCTCTGATCTGTGTTTAAGTGTGTTTGTCTGTCAGCTGGCCAGCATTTACACACTGGTTTCATGACTGGCTGCTGTGTGTGTGTTTTTTGTTTTCTTTTAAAAAGATGATGTAATGAGCGTGTGTGCGTATGTGCACATGTGTGTGCATTTTGCAGCCAGCTGTGGAGAATGACATGCATATTAATGTGGCTACATGATGACTTTGACCTGTACTAGAGGAGCTACTGGACGAAACCATTTTACTGCCATGTGTGCGCCTGTATGTGCATGAGAGAGTTTATAGTTTTATCTGTCCTCAGTTGCATACTAGATGTTTGACAGCTGTTGACTTGGCTAAGCATGTAGCCATTCAGATTCAATTTTGGTCATTAGCAGTGAAAACCACTTCTGATGGAGATTTAATATGGCTGTGTCTTTTTTTTAAACAGTTTTAGATGAGAAGAAGTCTTAATTTTTTGCACACAGTAACACCTTTAGTCACATTTAAAGGCAAAAAAGTATAAGAGTATAAAAATGATTAATACCCATAAGCGCCCCTGGTTTTAAGCTTGGATGGTTCCATAATAGTGAGGTGGTTTGCACATTTTTCTGACAGCTGAAAGATTCCTGGTTTGACGCTGAAAGGAGACACAATGAAACCTGTGGACCTACCTGCTATGACGACTCTCCCGTGAATAAGGCATCAGCTGAAAGTTGCTTTTTATAGCAGCTGGCTGACAGTTGATTTCCACTTCTGCCGTAAATCTTTGATGATTCTACAATGTAACCAATGCAAGTGGCCTTCTGCAATGTGTTTATTATCTTGTGGTTGTGGCTCAGTGTTTTAAATGCAGTGCTACCCAAAAATCCTGGGAGATTTTCCCCCTTTTTTGTACATTCCCACTCCCAATAGTTTGGCAGTCTCCCCTCAAGAATTTGACCACATCTGTGAGTACTAATATTAAGGCTATGATTGTAATTTCTCATGTTTAGATGATAATTATTATTCTTTCTCTGATTCATTCAGAAACTGCAGTGAAAAATAGGTAGAAACACAGGTTAAGGCATAGTTTAAATTGTAGTTTTTCAGATGTTTCTGCAGCTACAATTTCCTAACACAGAGGTATCAATCCACCACGAGTTGTTGTGCTGTTACAGTAAATGTTGAACACCGTTTGACTGTACAGACAAAAGGTTTGTCCGTCTGAGATGCACTTTAAAGCAGTTTCAACTCATAACTTTTGATATTTGGTTAATCATTACTCTGAGCTCTGAAGGAAAAAGTCTGCCGAGGACACACAGAAAGCTGTCCAGCAGGCCTGTTTCCAAAAAGCAGTTTTCTTAGGAGCGTGGAAAGTCTTAGCATCCATACATGGATATGGGATCTCTGTTGATTTAACTGCTTTAGAGAATGGTATATTTCACTCACATCTTAAAGATTCAGCATTCAGATTTGGGATGTAAACATTCACAAGAATTTTAATACATTTCTGGCTTTTTAGGAAGTTACTCATTGACAAACACTTTTCTCATCCTCAATATGATGACTTTCTATCTCATCTAAAATCTCAAACTAAATGCTGACCCCAGTTCTAGCCCTAACCTTGAGCCAGTTCTAAACTAAACATTAAAACCAAGTCTTAGCGGTGCAATGGCTCTGCACAAAAATGTATCCATGCAAAGATGGTAGCATACATGCATCGTACACACCTGTTGAAGTTTGGTCAAAGCCTTTGTCCCTCCTCAGCACTGCATTATGTTTCTTTTTTCTTTCCCCCCCCCTTTTACTTGTCATGTCCTCATCACTTTTTTCTTTTGCCATTCCAAAAGGAAACAAATAAACCTCAAGCGATTGTGTCTCTCTGCTCTTTCACTAGCTCTGTGTCATTCTCTTTCTGTCCATCTGTGGGCCTTCAGGGGTTATGCAGAGCTACATGTATTTCATTCATAGTCATGCCCTCTGCTGTTGTTCACTACAGAGCCATCCAAGAGTCTTTGTAGCTTTACTGGGCTGTGTTTTTGTCGCTGTGTGTGTGTGTGTTGTTGGAGAGTAAGAGGAGAGGGTGAGATTCACGGTAGCAAGGCTGGAAGGCATTTCTATGGCCAGCCTTCGAAGGCAGCTCTTTGATTTTTCTCTTTGCAACTTGCTCACTCCTCTCTTTCATTCGGTCCACCTCTCGTGGCGCAAATGATCACAGCTCGCCTTCAAACAGGGGGGACATGAAGCGAGGACAGCTTCTGTTTGATTTCTGATAGCCCTACCTTCCTTCCTGATAAACACATACATATAATATGGACACACACACTCACACACATATTTGTTTGTACAACGGCATCTTTGCAAACGTGCACGCCGATATTCACATCAGTCTAACCCACATGCCTGTACACAAAGACGCAAACACACGCGCTCACACACAGATGCAAGCACGCATCCGGGGGTCCCATGGCGGCTGGTGCGCTGCGCTGTGCTCCAGGATTGGATCATCAGCCAGCTGTGAGTTGGACAGCCCAGGATCTGTCCTAATCCCCGCCACTCTGTTCACATCGCCTCACATGCGCACACACACTCTCCAGTCCCGGCCCCAACCCAGCAGAGGGCTTTACTAAGTTTGTTTTGTTTGTTTGCTCCTGCCTTTCTTCACTTTCTTTCTTTTCTTCTTTCCATGTCTCCATCCGGCCTCATCTCTCCCCGTGTTGTGATCACACATCCCAAAGGCCATAGTGAAAACTGCCCAGCATAACTTCTCTTTCAACACACGCCAGATAGGACTGAGATGTGTGTTTGCATGCGTTAGTGTATCCATGGTTAGTTGAGACCTGTGGGCCTGCATTGTGTTTGAGCCGAGATGAATGTCTGAGGCTCCAGATCTTCCACCGGTTTTGTTATCCCCATGAAATCAAGCATCCATGTTCATTAGGGTGCTTGCTTAGAGCTGTAGATGGACCTGGAGCTTCAAACTGCTTCTGTGAATAAGTTTACTTGCGCTCAGTTTTTCCACCTAAAACTTCTGAGTGCGGAGTCTTCAGCCAGGAAATATCTGAACACGCTGGTCCATATAATCTGTGCCTGTATGTGACAAACACCTGAAGAACGAGTTTTCAGTTGAAATTGTCCTGGCAGCAAATTTGTCGAGGAGGCTGAATAAACCCCTTATGAGAAAATCTGCAGTGATGATTATCTGTGAATATCTGGTTAAAAATCCTATCAG